ATACCGATGAATTCAAAAAGAAGACGAATTATTGTATACGGTTTGGTCACTCGTTATGGTCCGTGAACCAGTTACTAGCGCAAGAGGTTAGTGTCAAGTTAGCTATTAACGCAAGTCAATCTTCTCTTCTTTTGTAGAAAAAGTGGCAGCCAGCTGTTGACATCACATTAGGCGAAAGACCACCACATTGTGACTACAATGTCGGGTCTGAAGCTACTCGATAGAGTTCCTATAAAGTATGAAGGACAGTTAGAACGCCATAATCACTGAGAGGATAACATACGTATCTGTCGTCCGGTTTGCGTCCAGCCGTTCATGAAAACTAAATTTAACTTGCGCTCGGTTTGTTGCAACCACTCCTACTCCTTTCTAATTATACGCAGAGATACCTGTTGACGATGCAACGAAAAGAAAAAACAGGTTACGTCACGATAATAACAAACCGATGACGCATAGTTGATATCGATTATATTCATAATATTGAGTGTAATTATCATAGCAATTAAATATCATTGAAAATGGTAGAAAGAGTTCATTTGTTCCAAGTCTTTCTAATTTAAACGCGATCCCTTAACCCATTGACCTCTTAGCTACTAAACACCACTATAATGGCTTACGCATATGTCATCTTTTTAAACGGTACGTCACTATAGTTGGCTCATTTATTTCTCAATCGAAAAGAGCTGTATATACTGTTCTATTGTTATAACTTTTCAAATTTTTTTAAAAACAAACTTCAATTTATTCATTCTTTCAATTTCAAAATTTTAATTTATTCAAAGTTTATTCTAACATAATTACATAGTGCAGAGCACCGCCGATTATAAATTTCATCGTTACACTATTTTGCATAGTTTGTGTCAGATCTTGTTTTACACAGAAATATAACTTCACAAAAAATCTAGCTAAAAGGTTAAAAATCAAAGAATAATGTACCACAATGTTGTAAGTACTCAAAATTCTTGGAATAAAACAAATTTTATTATTGTAAACACATCCAAATCGAATTCGAAAGCTTCGTAGGAGCCGTTAAAACAAAACTACAAAACTACAAAACTACGTTGGTAGGTTTTTTTTCCCTTTGTGGTCTACCCATTTCGAAGTGAGCAAATACGAATATCACAAAACGACTCATTTTTTTACAGATTTTCAATGGAACGTTTGCCAAAAAATAGAATTTTTATATATGACTTTTTTTTAAGAACACAATTTTTATTTACGCCATTTGAGTTGAAAGTTGGCCTGCGATATAAATAAAGTTGTATAATATATCATTAAATATACTAATAAAAATCGTTTAATACAATTTGCGTTCAATAATTTTACAATTACGAGTAGAAGTCCATAAGTCTGTAATTCAAACAATAAGAAAAATTTGTAGGGTTTTTAAAGGTATATATCACTCATATTAATACAAATAAATCTCAAAAATTCCCTTTTCGTTGAAAATTAGATGCTACATATTATGTTGATCAATTCCATAAATCGAGATAATTATTAGAAATTAACTGAAATTTATCTTGAAATTTATACTTTTTCGCGAGAGACTCCAATTATTCTACTTGACCATATTTTAACCACGTACTTGCAATATTACAGCAATATCTTAACAGTAACTACAATATCGTATATCGTAAACTTGTAAAATAAAAATAAATTACAAGTAACGAAGTTGCTCCAAATCAGCGATCACAGAAAACAATTGCAGACGTTAAAAAATCGACTCGCGTTAAATTTTTAGGTACGATTATCCTGCAATAAAACACCGGCATGGCCAGCCAAACAGATGATGGCGCCAAAATCTTTGAAATTTACATTACTTCGTATTGCCAACGATATTTTAAAGTGAACGAATAATTTTCATGGAAAATGTCTAAGGCGGATTGTCCTTGCAAAGAGAAATACACCTACAACGTAAAAAGACGCAAGATTGCATTTGTTTATACGTAAACCGCAGCGTGTGAAATGGCCGCAACGTTCGACTGACAGATAACTGCTCGCGTCGTTCGAAGAAACGAATATTCACTCACCGCCTAGAATTTCATCCGAGGTGAACTTTACGGTGGACGACATCACGATCCACACACTTAATCACTCAGGATACGATAGAACACGCACGAATGGTCGGTTAACACTTTTGCGAAACACGTTGAGCGAAAAAACGACACATCCGCAACGAATCACCGTGGTAAAATGCTCGGTCAGACGCGCGACCGTGCTTTGTTTTGACGAAACGTCAACATACGCACGTCAGCTAAACCAACCAATCACGCTACATGCGCTTCAATGTAAATACCACTACGTGAGTCAAAGCAGAAACGATGCCAATGACCATGGTAGGTTCTTCTGCGTGAACTTCACTACGTGACTCGTTACACGTTCTTCCTACTTCATTTGTTGTTGACATTACGAAAGCGAGTATCACCAAAAAATCTGAAACCAAATTTAACCGAATTACCCGTTCTTAAATTTAAATTTGAATTTAGTTACGCAGTAATTAATAGCACGTATTTCGTTTCCGATCGAGAATTAGAATTTCAATAATCTTTTTTTTTATTTACACAGCCACAAAGATTATGATAGCTTATCTACTCACAAAACAAAAGATGACAAATGAAGAATATGTATTTTGGAAACTTTTATATCTTATAATAAAATTTATCCTATTAACGTTTTATTCGATGACGAAATGAAATTATTCTCTTATGTCTGATTCATTCATTGGAACTCTGCTGAAATCATAATCATTTAAATCGCTCATGTTGGAACGTCAGTCAATAAGAGGTTTAAAACTTGATTAAATAACTTGATTAAACTAAACGTTATAACATTGTATTGAAATCAATTGTGAGAATAATATATATATTTATCAACTTTTGCAGCACAAAGTACGTTGCTCTTTTTATACATATGTACATACGTGGTGGCAGCACTATCCCAGTATTACTTCAAGGGTTAATTTGCGTTGTACGACACGTATTTTACCCATGAACTGCGTAAATCGTGTTTTCTATCATAAATTGTCCGAAACTACACTATTCAAAGGTATATTTACACTTTACACTTGTGAGATTATCATCTTTTCTTATAATAACAACAGATAGATGGTATAATTATGAATAAAGATTAATAAATATCGCTTTGTCGATACTAAAAGTAGACAGTTAAAAATGGTCGCCTTGTAACAGATCTGTCAAGCGATATTTTACCGTATCAAGTCGCTACGATACAGTAAATAGTATAACTAAATTTTTAGTAGCCAACGTCTTCGATAATAAATTTGAAGTAAATGCAAGGACTATTCAGTTTTTACAACGACAAATGTAATTTCATAGTTCGTACCATATGTGTAAACGAAGCTATTGTATATTTATTTCGTTCGTATAAGAGAGTTCAAGCTTCTCTTCCATAAACATTTTATAATCTTCAAACATTGTGCTAATGTTGATAATTAGCTAATAAAATTATTGAAATTGTTAGCAATAAATCGTTAATAATAATTTTCACGTTAAAAATTAATATGTAATTATTTATGAAAAAAATAGATATGGAAATTAACTACATGGATATAAAATGTATATCAAAAACTGAGAAACGAATTAATTTGTTTATAGATTATTTGCTGTATTATTAAATATATATTTGGAATGAAAATGAAGATTCCAAATAATCGTTCAGGGAACGATTATGGAAACGAAACGGGAATTATCTCTTACATGGATAATAATTTTGAATCTGAAATCGATGTACAAGGAACAGAGGAAAGTGATTTTTCTGAATATCTTTGGATGGAAAATGAGGAAGAATTTGATAAAGAGGTCTTGTGACTATTGTCCTAATAATGATTATATATAATGAAATATTATAGCCACAAAATTTTTTTCTTTTTTTAATAAAATTTTAGTAATATAATAGTAATTAAAAATCATAGGTGATTCAACAATTAATGGAAGAGGAGTTAACAGAGGAATGTTTGAAAGCAATGTGGGAAGATGAAAGACAGCATGAACGAAATACAAATTCTATTGCTTGGTCCACTGCTACGAACATGCCTGAGAATGGAGCTGAACTTTGTCAGCAGCTTAACAATCTAAAAATGCATGATGATCTTGCTAAACAGGTATATACACAAATAAAAAATAATACTGTAATTTCATATATACAGAATGTCATATAAGTAATTTGTTTTCAGAGTACTTTAAATCCAAATGCAGCTGAATTTGTTCCAGCATGTAAATCAACAGTAACGTCTGTAAGTACACCACCAGAAGTTACTGCAGAATCATCATAGAAGCCATACATTCATTATTTAACTGAATAAAACACAGGCTATATATATGGCTCATGTTTACCATCTTCAGTAACAGTTGTATTAACTGAATTGCATTAAAAGTTAAATGACTGTCCCTACACGTACAAAGGTATAATGATTGTCAAAGCAGATAATACAGAATGCTGTTATATGATATTTACGAATAATGTCAGTCAGTTGCATAACCATAAATTGAAAAAAAATATATTCAAATTTTTATAGTTGTGAGATATTGCATAACATTATAAACATTTAATTTTATTATTATAAACATATATTTTTCGGCAAATTAATAATGACATAAAATACAAAAATCACTTGTTATAGAAATTTGCAATTTATATTTTTTATTTTTAACTGAAAAAAAATATTTTCAAAGGTAAATGTTTATTCTATACAACTTATAAATTGAGGCAGCAAAAAATATGCATATACGAATTTTCATGAATTACATGTATACACATCCGACAATGAATTCTTGCATCCAAGACATATCTTTTTTTTTTTTAGTTCTTTCAGAATGTTTCTTTTATTCTGATCTGAGAGTTTTTATATACTGTAATATGTGTTTCTAAATGAATCAATTTTCTAAGAGTTCCTTTTGTAACACTTATTTTATACTGGTGTACATCTTCTGTAATCATTGACATGAATTAAAAAAAAATATATATATATATAAATATATATATATATATATATATATATATATATATATATATATA